CAGGATTCCTGGGTCATATGGTAAGTCTATTCCTAGTCTTTTGAGGAATCTCCATACCGTTTTCCACAGTGGCTGCACCATAATGCATTCCCACCAGCAGTGTCGGAGGGTTCCCTTTTCTCCACAGCATCTCCAGCATTTGTCATTTGTGGACTTTTGAATGATGACCATTCTGACTGGTGTGAGGTGATACCTCATTATAGTTTTGATTTGCATTTCTCTGATAATTAGTGATACTGAGCATTTTTCCATGTGCCTATTGATCATTTGTATTTCTTCCTTGGAAAATTGTTTGTTTAGGTCTTTTGCCCATTTTTGGATTGGGTTGTTTGTTTTTTTCTTATTCAGTCGTATGAGCTGCTTACATATTCTGGAGATGAAGCCTTTGTCGGTTTCATTTGCAAAAATTTTCTCCCATTCTGTAGGTTGTCATTTTGTTTTACTTATGGTTTCTTTTCGTGTGCAGAAGCTTGTAAGTTTTATTAGGTCCCGTTTTTTAATCTAGTTTTTATTTCTAGAGTTGGGCTTCTTGCTTCTTTATACATCTCTGTTGACTTTAACTTGACGCTGGAAATGATGGGCAGTCTTTTGGTGCTTCTCTGTAGAGTTTCCTGCACGTAAAATGAAGAGAACAGCTGCTACCCACTCATTCCACATTGGAATGATTCATAAGAATCACACATGTAAAGACCTTGCACAGTGCAGAAAAATGCTAGCTCAGCTGAAGCTATTATGGGAATGAAGGTTAATGCTTGTGTCTCTCTCCATAATAGCCACCTGCTCTGTTGGCATGCACGTTCAATTCTCTATCACTTTACATTACTTTCTACCCTTGCAACCAAAACCACATATGTTTCCTGAAAAAATCTTAATGTAAAAATACTATTTTGTGAATAGATTGTTTTACAACAGAAACTAGGTAAGTATGTGAATATTAAGCCAGATCAATAAAGGGAGATAGGTTTCCTTACTAACAATTATGACATAATTGAAGAGTGAGATTTCTGCACATTTCTGGTGGAAAGGGTTTGTTGGTTGGTTTGTATATCAGGAGACACTATTGGGCATGTCCCCATTTGTAGCACAGAATTTGATTTTATTTTCAATTGTAGCAATTTTGAGCCAGAAGGAAATCATGATATCCTGAGAAATGCTTTACAAATCCATTATTTCTACTGTTCTTTCTTGATACAGAAACACAAGAAATTGTCTTGGAACAGTGGACATATTTTCTTACTGGCTTAAAATCCTTGGCCAATTCTAGTGGAGCCTGAGGGGACAGAAACCCAAAGAGAATCCTGTTCTTAATAAAAATATGCCCAAGAGGAAGACATACTTTCCTTGTCCCAGGAGTTTTCTGAAGGATGAGGATCCAACTTTGAAGATACAATAAAAAATGATATGAAGCAAGACTTTGAGTTGGCAAATATGGCAATCAAAGGGATTGGATTAGTTTTTGTCCCATGGTATATACCCATTTTTAGTTTTAAAAAGGCATTTATATAAACTAGTATACTTTCAGTATGGAACTGGAGAAAAACACATAAAAGGAAAAGATAAAAATTAAGATTTTCCATAATCCCACTCAGGGATAATCACTCTTAACATTTTGGTGATTGTATTTCTAGTCTTTGTTATATGTGTCTGTGTTATATGCATTCACAGAGTTGATTAATATATTACATAGGACTATATTTTTAATTTTTTAAACTGTCTTTTCATGAGCTTTACCTCTTGCTATTTTTGTGTTTTAGTATTTTGGTAAACATCTTTTTTAAGGGATGCATAGTTCTGTATCATATGGATGGCTCCTCACCTTTGAAGAATACTTACTATCTCAAATCCTTGGATTCCAACTTTCCAGTTGAGCAAATATTTTTGCAAACTTACAGTGCTACTGAGTTCTTTCAACCCTAAACCATAATGAATGTAGTCTGCTGCTGCCTTTGATATATTGTGTATTTTTTGAAAAGTCACTCAGAGACCTCTATTTCAGTTACCTCACCCATAAAACAGGGAACACATTTCCCATTTGACCTCAGACATGTTTTGTGGGTAAACGGGATGTTAAGACATTATGCAAAAGACTATAAAGGACCACACAAATGAAGAATAGTTCTGTTGATGCTGATTTGTGATGAATTTAGAATGACATCTGTGTCTTTCCCTAAGATATATCTAAGTTTCCCTGTACAAGCTGAGTAGATCATTATTTTGTTATAACTGCTTGATCTAAGCCAGCACCATGGATAGGTCCAGTCCTTCAGGAGTCTGTGCTGTTAAGTCCAAAGGTAAATAGGAATTAGATCCAAAGGAGTTATACCTTTAGATTTCTCTTCAGCTTAAGGTTAAGACCACTTAGGGAAAATACCCAAACATATAAACATGAAAATCACAGATACGTAAACATGCAGATTACAGATTAGGAACCGCATGACATAAGGATGAGTCTCCCAAGTACAAAATTAATGTTTTGTATAAATTAAGATGTTACTGTGTTACTTTTAAATAATAATACATATATAGACACAGATATTGTGACAGATATTTTAATTGTTTATCCATCAGTCATTTCTCTTTTTTCTTGTCAATTCTGTTTGTGGCAATAGTGTTTCAGGCCCAAGTGACGAATCATGATTTGCCTAAGTCAAAAATGTTATCTTTTTCCCCTGTGCCGGATACATACTTTCCTAGCTTCCTTCAGAGCTGAAATTTCTAAAGAAGAGCTACACCTTTGTTGATATTTTTCAGCCTACATTCAGGCTTCTTGTTGTTTTAAGAATTTAATGCCTTCTTTGTTTAGTCCTCTGTTCATCTGGTAGTTTGCCTCTTATTGTTTAAGAGATTTTTAAGTTATATGCAATATAAATGTAATGGAGTACATCTCTCAACAGGAATTGTGTCTTCTTTTTAAATTCTCAGCACCAAAAGTAATGTTTCCCACATGGTGGATGCTAATAAATATATAGTGAATAAAATCAATACAAAATACATACAGAGACATGTAGTTATACGTACTCGGGCTTTACAACATGTGGAGAAATTAAATTAACCTATAGTACAAACACTGTGAAGGTGGGGATTTTATCTATTTTATTGACCAGTCTTTTCTGAGCTCCAGGCATAATATTTGGCTACCGTGGGCTCTCATTCCATGTATTTTAATTACTGAATTAAGTGAGTAATAAATAAAACATTAATTTTTATGATTACCACAATAACCCTACAAAACGTATCCGGGGAGCATTAATACATACTCGCTATTTACAGATGAAGAAACTGATGCTCAAAATTACTAAATTATTCACTCAAGTTCACATTTTTTATAAATGTTAGAACAGGAGCTGAAACCCAGATCTGCCCATACCATGGCTAACACTCTTTGCACATTGCCATGATACCATTATGTCGATTTAAAATAGGAGTGAATGTATAAGAATTGGCTTGTACTCTAGCAATTTTGGGGCCAAAAGTTTTCTATAAAAAAAGGTATATCAACTAGGATGTTTTAACTTGAGGGGTTTTGGATACCACTTTCGGGCTTGGCAACTACCTCTTCTCCATGTTTTCTCTTTTGGAGTTAGGAAACTACACAGAATTCCCTGGTACGCTTCCCCTCAGGTCTCATCATATGGCCAAGTTACTGTCATATGTCTGTTTCTAAACTAATCTTTGACTCTGGGAATAAGATTGTTATTGATTAGAGTGAAATAATGTTGGAGACTTGATCACGATGACTAGTACTTAGGGACAATGCACTATTATAACACTGTGTGCTAATATCATATAAGATTACTTGGGGAGAGGCAAATATGCATGTCTTTCTCTTTAAAAAAAAAAACCTATTATGGGTCTTGGATACTGAGGCAAATTATACAAACCTAACTAGAAAAGTAAAGAGTCTGACTTCATTTTTTTATGTTTAACTTCTGATCGCTTTAAGCATCACCCCTTCCCTCTCCCTCTGCCCCATGCCCTGAATCTGGACAAACTGATAAGAAAGCCTGGGGGCTTCCTCCTTTGGTGCCAGTGGGAAATTCAAGCAATGCAGACCCCTGCTCACCAGCAGAAACCCTCACCTTGGCCCCAGCC